GATGTTTTCCATCACAACTCCTACAACAATATGTCAATTTTCCTTCTAACTGACATATTAACTAAGCAGAACGTTCTATCCTATGCCAGAACCTCCGCTCTGATACCAAAACGTCACACCTTACTATCGGATCCACTTAGAATTTAATTAAAACCATTTTAGACCACATTAGATGGTCTTGGGCTCAAAATTCCATGAAAAATGCTGATTTTCGGATTTTACTGTTCATCAGGTAAAAATCCAGTTTTCTAGCCCAACTTCATAACTTCATAACTTCATCTAGAAAAATCAAAATGGAGTATTTCAAAATTCTATAAAAAGCTCTTTGAATTCTCTTTCAAGGAAAAATAATCTTATGAACCAATTCCATTTGAAAAAGTGTCAGGTTTTTGTGAAATTCACCTCTGTCCATTTGACAAAAATCCTTTTTCCAGATTCTGAACCTTAATTTTGAAAAATCAGTAAAAATCGTGTAGTTGGCCATTTTTAACGTGCTGCCTATCAATTTGAAGCTCATGACGTCAAATTTAAGCATACTAAATCGCCCTTAAATTCATTTGTAATTTCTCTAAGGGCAATTTGGTCATAAAACCAATTTTATAATCCTATATAATTCTCAAAAAACATTATCCTTATTTTTTCTTAATTTTCTAAGGTTTGGAAATATCTTTTCCATAATTAATTTTGACCAATTTCCTTAATTAGTCAAATTTTCATAATTGGCTTGGAAAACCATAATAATTATTTTCCACCAAAATTCTTCTATTTCTTCTTGTCATTTTTTACCCTTAATTATTTAGGAACATTCCTATTCTTAAATGCAATATTACAGGATGTGACATTTATTCCAGCATATTGGTCTCCAAGGGCAAATGGTTCTAATGCTCAAATTTAAATTAGTTAGCAGTACAAGATAATTAGAAAAATTTTGTATGTTTAATTCTCCAAATCAAGTTCCTCTAAACTCATAAGGAGACAAAAGATATGATAAACATAATAAATAGGATATACACATAACTTTGACTTTTGAGTTAGAGTCCAGATGAATACAAATAAATTTTTAAAATGGTTATGCTATGTTAGAACCATGCAATCTCAAATATAACTTAATAATATTGAAAAGTATCTGTAAAAGCAAAAAAAGAAAACTTGATTCGAGTCGTGTTTGAAGACACTAGCTTAAGAGTTATTCAACTAGACATGGTAAAATGCAAGAACTCCCCAAAATTAAATGAGTCCTTGTAGAAAAAACAGAAAAGCATAGGAACAAAAATATAAACAGAACTCGATGAAATAGCAAATGAGGAGGACTTGCTGCACCTGCGAATATTTACCATTAAATACAACAATAAATAGAACGTTCGATACTATACCATTAAAAATTAGTAGTGCTGTCTTTTTGCCGACACCAGTGAAAACTAATACTCACAGTCGGGATGCTATTTTCTTGAGATTATTCTATTGTTCTGAACTTTAATAAGAATGACATACATACCCAGCTGTAGTTCCTCATGCAATCGATTCTCGCACTTGCAAATTAATTAGGTCAACGAAGAATGGGGAAATTAAAAATGGGTGGAGTTAGTTGATACATGCACGTCAATCGCTTAATTAATAATTAATTCGTTAAGATGAACCAACCAGAATTGAATAATTAATTAATTAATCAGCTTCATTGGGAATATATTAAAATAATAATCAAAGGAACCAGCGTTATGTATTCACGGAAATACAATTACTTTGGATGCTTCTATTGGTTATTATATACAGAAAATATCTCATCTTCAAAGTTCAAACAAATTATTGGAAGCCAAAATTATTATATAATTAGTTGATAAATTACAAACCTTCCTTTCCCTTTTTCAAAACCTACGATATCTCTTCTTAGGTGAGCTATCCGAGGCTGGATACAACTACCGATTTTTTTTTTTTTTTTGTTGGGGTAGTCATACAACTACTGCATTTGGCTATTATATATATATATATATATATATATAAAATTAAAGTTTTTGTCATTTTTAAAATACAGTAGTTTTTATATTTTATTTTTCATTCTTGTAATTTTTTTATAAATAATTTTGGTGGACCAAACTACTATAAGAATAAAATGGTGAAATTAATACTAGGAGAATTAACTATCCCTCAATTTTGATACGTGATATATTTCTTCAAGTCCTAAATCTAGGAGCTAGACATGTAACCAATTCATAAAGATTAAAAAAATTAGTTAAGCTAATTATTTCTAAAAGGTATTAATTTTTGAAAATACTCTAGCACTTTGATCGATTATATTGAAAATGCCTTGATTAATGGAAAATCTCCTTTAATATTGATATAGTTTTAAAAACAAACTTATAAATGTGGGAAGCAAAGTAAATTGAGATAATATATTTAGGACTAAAATAAACTCCTCAACTATATTTTATATTGGGAAAATCCCAAAAAAGTGATAGCTGAATTTCAAAATTCCAAATCAGTACTAGTTACTACACTCATAAAGAAAATGACTACATTCAAAGAGCAAATGGCAACACATTTTTGTAGTAATTCCTGATTTGAAATTTTGAAATTCAGTAGTCACTTTTTTGGGATTTTCCCTTTTATATTTAGGGTAGGAGGAAGTAACACTTTTATATGACAGAGAGCACTAAGATGTGATTTGTAGCATATATATAGTACTACCTTCAATAATTAATATAAGACTCAATTGACTAATTTAAAATGATTAAGGAGATGAAATAAATATTTTAAAATATTATATTTATTATTTTTTACAAGCTAATTTGCTCGGCTTATAAACTAGTATATAATCTAATAATACACAAAAAAATCATTCAACATATACTATAATTAAATAATTTTTTTAACTTTGTTAATTATCTCAAATTAATCAATTATGTCTTATACTAAATACTGAAGGTAGTATATAGCAACTGTGACCATTTTTTAAGTTAATATAATACCAAATATTAATGCTTCATTTTGTTAAAGGCAGTGAGTACTGTTCGTCAAGGAATGAGAGCCGGATTTTGTGATGATAAAAAAAAAAAAAACCATGGGATGTGATATCATAACGTATCAAACACATATGTCATTTATTAACATTTTTCAAATCCATTGTATCTATGATTAAACGTCGCGTATGTAAATTAAATTTTCAGACTAATCTTGTTAGTGTGGAAAGAAAAACTTATGCAAATCAACTGAAGTTGGGTTGAGTGAAATAAACTCAATTCTTTTTAAATAATCTTAAATATTTTTGTAAATAAAAAAATTACATTGAGATAATTATTTTCAAAATTTAAATAAATATATGTAAAAAAGATCTATGCAAAAATCAATATTGAATATGTATTATAATCCTTGCATACGTGTTGATGAGGGGGGGGAAAGAAATTTGTTACAATATTATAACCCTATCCCATTAAATATTTCAAATTTGTTTGTAAGGTGGTGAGATTCTATACAATTTTTGATACTCACGCCTTGGGGCGTGTATGGTTGAGAACTACTTCCTCCGGTCTTTATCATAAGTTTTAAATAACTAATTTATAAATAACAAACTGTTGGTTAATATTAGTTAAAAGTAATAAATAGATTAAAAATATAATTTTGTTTCTAAATATGCTCTCATAATAAATGAGGAAAAAAATTCTCACCAGAAAAAAAAAATAAGAAAAATGATAAAAAAATGTATGGAGAAATGCAATACGAGAAAATATAATAACTGAGAGAGAATAAATAATTAAAAACAAAAGTTAAAAAATACATTAAATATTAAATCAAATCCCAAATTGAAGTTTATAAAATGGAATACATTTCTTCTCAAATTTGAAATTTATAAATATGATCAAAGGGAGTAATATACTACCTCATCATTAATATAAAATCTAGTTGGGGTTGGATTTGGTCATAAACTTTTAAATATAAAACTTCAATATACTTTCTCTCATTTTTTCCCCCAAAATATCCATATGATTGAAAAGGATAATTTAGAAAGATCAACATACATTTGTAACAAATAACCAATTTAACTAATTTTTTAAATATCTTAAATTAGTTATATAGACAAATTTACAATCTATTGGCATGCTCTTCTATACATGAAAAGTCTTGGGTTGGATTCCACTACAACCTTAAATTGTTACTATCTACTGTTTTCATTCCAAAAAAAATTTTAACAAAAATTTTAGCAAAATTCAAAATATAAAGCCAATTCAATAGTTCAAATTCAGAAGTAATAACAAAATCCAAAGTAAAGTGGCCGCCAGCAAGTGCAGGCGCGCTTTACCCGTTTGATACTGATACAAGAATTACTTGGTAAAATGGCTGATCAATTTTATAGGATTCACACGTTCATAAATTGCAAACACTCTTGAGGGGAAATGAAAGGAGAAAGTAGAAAAATTAAAAATTAATTTAAAAAAATGGTTGACCTGAAATATGGGGAGTACGTGTCATTTGATGATTGGAGGACTTGAATAGCTAACTAGTTATAATTTCTAAATACTAATGATTGAGCCACCCCCTTAGTGAGCAACCATTTGCTTTGCAAGACACGCCTCTAAGTTCCGCGTTGACTAAACCCTAATTATTTCTCCAACACTTTTTTTTTGGACTGAATATTTCTCCAACAGTTGCTTGCTTCCCTGTCATCGGCACTTCGTCAAAAATCAAACCCCATTAACCCGGCGCCAAGATCGTAGTAATGAGATCATCTTGTCAATTAATTATGAGGCAACATTATAAAAATTTGAAACCCCACCAACCATTTTTCCGCTTTGCCCCTTAAGAGAGCTTGAAGATTACTGGTAATTTGCAGATAATCAGAGAACAGAGAGAAAAGACAAGAAAAGTCAGGATTCTATCGCTCCATTTTCATTTTTAATAAAAAGGAAAATTAATGGATGAAAAGAAAGATGAATGCTTCACGTCGCAATCATTACCAATATTATTCTTTCCTTCTGGTAAAACTGACCTCAGTGCCAGCTCCGTAGAACTTGACCGAATATATGCTGGCTTATTCATTAATCGCGAATACCAAAGAATAATATCCGAATTAACGAGTCCATAACATTGCATTAATCCATTGATAAACTAAAAAAGAAAAAAGGTAAGAAAACGAAAAACCCTCATTTCGTTCTTCCTACTACTTAATCCGCACGGCCAACTTTGCAAATCTCAAACATAAAGAGGATAGAGCGATCTGGGTTGCTAAGAAAAATTTCAAAGGAGAAAATTTAGTTTGCACAGCAAACAAGAGAAAAAGGAAATAGAGAAAGAAAGGAGTGGTACAGATAGAATCAAAGGAAAAATGAGATTAGACAATAAGGTAATTCTTTGGTTTAATCATGGAGAAGGAGAGGCATTATCGGATCGATCGAAGTGAAGAAGTTGACCGCTACATCTGGGGCAGTGTTCGACCTGTTTGGGAACCATGAAATACATGAGACAGCTCTTGCACCCGGCGACCACCAGGACGTTATTCTGCTTCTCCACCGCCGGACTGGCATGCTCTCTTGACGACGACGGACACGACTCCGAAGACGACTCTTCACTGTCGTGCCAGCTTTCATCTTCGGAGTAGTAGTACTCCCCACCGCCACCGTCTTCTTCCCCTATCCTTCTAGGGTCTTCTCTCGCCTTCATGCCGTTGCTCCAGTTTATATAATATATCTCTCCCGTCTGAAATCAAACCAAAGGAAATTAGAATCAGAGTTTAAGATTGAAGAAATCAAAGTAAATTAGGGCAGGAATGAGGGAAAAGGAAAGAGAAGAGAACAGAGAGACCTTCAAATCGAGGCATTGTTCCCAGTGGTAAGGGAGGGAGATGCTGGAGTTGAGGTCTAAGGTGGGGGCGGCGGCGGCGGCGGCAGCGTTAGAGGTGGATGAAGTGTCTGTCCCGACGGCGTCGGAGACGGAACCTGGACTGGTGTGGTGGTTGTTTAATGAACAGCGCTCCAACGAGGCCGTGATCGTCTCCATATTGGGAGCCGTCATAATTACTTCTTCTTGCTACTACTAAAAACCAAGTTTTGGTTGGGGTTATGCGGGGAAAACGGAAGGCTTGAAACTTGAAATACATAGACATAAGAGGTGATGCGAGTCACGCCCCTCGATAGGCGCGTACAGCTAGATAAATGAACTGGTGGGCCCGCGAACTGAGAGCTACAGGCATATACATGGCACGCGCTGCGCAGGAGCGTCCAAGCCACCAATCAGCAGGAGGGGTGAAAGAACTAGTACATCACTTGCTATCCCCAAAAAGAATGCCGGAGGCCCTAGCGTTTTTATATACTCCCTCCGTTGCTTATTACTCCTTCCGTTTCTTATTATAAAAGACATTTGGTGTTTATAGCATGTTTTTATATATAAAAGACACTTAAAAGTTGTCTCTACTTTTTTGTGTTGATTTCCTATTTTACTCATATTTATTGTCTCCAATTCACACTCTCTCTCCTTTCCATTTCTCTTTCTTTTAATAAATTACCATTGTTCTCTCTCATGTTCTCTCTCCTTATTAATGAAGGTATTGTTGGAAAAAAAATTATACTTTTTACATATTAATTGTTCTTAACTAATTTTAAATGTTTTTTATCAACGTAATTCGGTTATTCGTCTCTTATAATAAGGAACGGAGGGAGTATAAGAGACGAATAACCGAATTACGTTAATAAAAAAAACAGTTAAAATTAGTTAAGAACAATCAATATAATTTTTTTCCAAAAATACCCTAATTAATAAGGAGAGAGAGCATGAGAGAGAATAATTAAATTATTGAAAGAAAGAGAAGTGAGAGGGAGAGAGAGTGTGAGTTGGAGATAATAAATATGGGTAAAATAGGAAATCAACACAAAAAAGTAGAGACAACTTTTAAGTGTCTCTTATATATAGGAACATGGCATAAGCATCAAATGTCTCTTATAATAAGGAACGGAGGGAGTATTAATTAACAAAGTTAATCACCACTGCCTCTCTTTATCTTCTCAATAAATAAATTATATTAATATGGAAAAAAATAAAATTTAGAATATCAATATGGTAAAACGCATGAGTTTTGTGCTTTCTATAGATTTCGAAATAAATCATAGTATTATTTTTTAAAAAAATCCATTCTTTTCTCTATCACCCATAGTCTCTTAACATGATACATTAACAAAGTTAATTATTAATTGCTTCTTTATCATGAATTTTATACTTTTTAATTTTTAAAAAAGGATTAATATAATTTTTAGTTCCTTAAATTTGTCTTCATTTTGTTTTCGGTCTTTCAACTTTCTTTTTATTTAAAATATTGATTCTTATAATTCAATTAAAATTTAGATTATTTTGTTCTCTGAGGAACCAAAATCTATGATTTAAAACTTGAGGGGTTAAAACAAAAACGGGGAAGGAGCTAAAGATTATAGTAACGCTTGTAGAAACTTTTAAGTTAGCCCTTTTATTTGTGATAAATTTTTAATATTATAAATAAGTGTGTCTGTGAGATCTAATATATACATATGCACACAAATTTTTTTATAGGGACAGATATTGGTAGTTTAAAATCATAAATAATATTGGCTCAATAACCTATTTATATAAGTATGCTATAAAATTATTAAAAGAGAGTATCTTTAAATGTCATATGGTGCTGGTCGTACAAAAAGTCTTTATCGTTAATCATAAATATTTATTCATGTTGTGAAGATTTGTAAGGGACGACTAGGGAGGAATGGTAGGCAGGGAAAAGAGGATAGTATTGGTAAATAATTTATAGATATTTATACACGTATAGACATTAAGTCTTGTGACACACCATAAGTTCACAACTCTTTTTTTTTTTTTTTGACCAAAAGTTCACAACTCTAATAAACCTCGGAATGTCACTGACCTGAACCTTTTGTGTAGCTAAGGAAAATGAGGGAGAGGGCTCACGAGACGGCAAGGTTTTAAAATGTGTGGAAAAGAAGGGTTTGGAATATGTGGAAGAGGCCCAATGCCCATCCGTCTGCACTTATTCTGTTTGTGGAATCTGTTTCTCAAATGTTGCGCCCTTCTTCTGACAACCTCACACGCCTTTTTTTGGTTCTCTCTCATCTTATATATTCCCCTCCTTCCTTACTTACGCCCATTCCAATTCCTTTCATTGAACTAAGCATTGAATATCATACCTTTCATTAAACTGATAAAGACATTAATTTACAAATAAGGAGTCCAATCATGGTTAAATTGGAATCAACACTCAATCATAATTATAACAATAGACTACTCCCTCCTCTCATAAATATTAAGAGTCTTTTAAAAGAAAAATTTTGGTCTAAAATATAAAAGATTCACAATATAATTAATGATAGTTTTTCCTTTTTATCTCTTTTTTAAAAAAAATACAAAGTTTTTAAACGCATATCAGATAAGAAAAAATTTTCAGTCACATTTTTTAATAAAGATAAGATAAGTAACTTCTATTAATTTAAACTCATTTAAATTGGCTAACATTCATTTATCTATGAGAAAGTTTAACTAATATATTATATTATGGTTAGGAGGGACCGAGGGAGTACCTCTTATCCTTATTAATATACAAACCTGATAATTAATTCACAAATGTTGAGAAAATTAATTAAGTGACTTATTTGTAGCAAATGGGTGTTAGCATTTCTAAATTATCTTTGCTAGTTATGTGCATTGGAACTACTTATTAATGAAAACTCCATAATATGTGCAATCAATAGAAATATTTTGAGAAAAATTATAAATTTGAGAGATAAAATAAATTGAGATATTATATTTAAGAGTAAATTGAACTCCTTGTCTATTCCTTATACTAAGGACAATAGATAATAACTTACTTAAAATATACAAAAATAATTATAAGAATAGGCTAGTCCATCAAAATATGGTGATTTGAGTAAAGATCCAACATTTTTTCTGTAACAATAAAATTTTTTATTAAATAACTTAAAGTACGGTAAAATTTAATTTGGTTAAAATACTCTTATATTAAAATCAGAGCTATACAAATATGTTTAATTTCTCATAACGTGACGAATCAAAGCTTAAGTCCCACTAAAAAAGCTATTCACATCTAGAGCATGACAGTATTTTGAACAGGATTCTTTCTTATAGAAAAATAAAAGAGGATTCACTTATATCCTGTCCTAAAAATTTTTGAGATGAAACAAAAGTAGGGCGGGACAAAAATATTTGGGGATTAAAGTGTCCTATCATGATATATTTTTTTTAAAATTTTATAAATTTATTTTACTTATCATTGATATAATAATGTTATAATTTTTATGATTATATTGTTTTCAATTCATAAGTTTTTTTAATGGGTTATATGATATTTTTCAGAGGATATTTTGAGTTTATATATTTTTTGTCTTTCAAAAAGAAACATTTTTCTATGTTAATTTTCAATTACTATCAATTTTTAGCCTATTTTTATTTATTTTTTATATAATTTTTACTATGAGTTTTTATGCTCTAAATACATTTGGTTTTTCAAGTTGAAAAAATACATTTGGTTTTGAAATAAAAAATTCAAAAAAATTAAAAAAAAATAAACAGGACATCATTGTCTCATTCAGGTTACGTCCCGTCCCAAATAAAACGAGACACCGTTAGAACGGGATGCAACACTATTGGAATAGGATGGTACACGAGATGGAAAAGGCTGTCTCACCTGAGTCTGTTCTGTCCCATGAACACCCCTAAAGATAGCTACACTTACAAATAAAATACTCTTATATTAAATTAAAATATAATAATACTTGATCTTCATTACCCGTATTTTTATTAAAGGGTAAAACAGATCTATTAGATATTAATTGTTAGAATAAAATCCTCTAATCAATTTTCTATTTTCCCTTTCAAGGACTCTACTCTATTTCAAAAAAATACATTTTAGTCCAAACCATTAGTACCGTTAAAGAATGATTAAAATATTTTAAAAATATATTTTTAATTTAATAATATATTAAAATAAATCTTATTTATTGATTTATCTCTCACCATATTAAATCTTTAATTTATTTTTTTACAATTTATTTCATATTAAATAATCATCAGTTTTATAGTTTTAGTAAATTTAGACAAAATCCAAGTAATTTTTACTTTATAAAATATTAACAACTCGTTCAAAAATCTGAGTAATTTTTTAATTAATATACGTGTAATAAAATATATTTTAAAATTGTCATATTAATATAATATCTTAAGGACAATACTTATAACAAGTTTCTTATATCTATTATGTCAAGTTCTTCAATCACACATGACCATGTGTCTTATTTTTGAAATATTAACATTTAATAGCATTTAATTCTAAATCCACATGAAATAAAAAATGACACATACTCATGTGTGATTAGAGAACTTGGCAAAATGGATTTAATCACAATGTCAATGGCTTTAGTGAGTGACACAAAAGTGAGCAATGGTGAAAACTTGAACAAAAGATATCTAGGCTAGATCCAGATACAGGAAGAAACCCTTATGATACAAGAAAAGACTGAGTATAGACAGGCAAATCCCTAACATAAGGCTAAAATCAAGAATGTAAGCTGAAAAGACTTGACAAAAAGTTAAAACAAGAAGGGTCTAAGATAGCAAAGTACCATGATTCGAGCCTATCAGCACTAGTGCATCAGATTTCCATAAGCATTTTTTAGTTAAGCGTGCTCAGGCAAGAGTAGCCCAATAATGGGTAACTCCCCAAGAAGTTATGTAAAAGTATGCAAAGGCCAGAAAACTAAGCCATTTTCAGTAGAAATGCATAAAGTTCAAGTAGATGGAAGAAAAGATAAGAATGTAAGAGACATTCTCCTCAGTTAACCTCTTAGTCAGTATAAAGATAGAGGTTTAGCCTTGAAATTTCAAGGACGAAATTTTTAAAAGAGGGAGAGAAATGTCACATCCCAAATTTTAGGCCTAGAAGCCTAGAAAGTAGCCTAAAAAAGGTAAGCTACTAAGCTTTTTTGAGCAGAAGTCCTAAAGATATGAAAAGAAGCTAGAACGGGAATGGGGACTAAATTGTAAAGTGAGAGAGTTTTTAAGGGC